TTTTTTTGTATATAGGCTGGACATTTTCTTAATTCTAACAACAAAATCATTTTTTAGATTGACTTTTCCTCGCTTTCTTGCTAACCTCCTAATTATGCTTCTCTCTTTGTTTTCTCGAGCGACATGAACATTGCTCACTTGCACAGCTGTACAATTCTTCAATAAATACGCGAACCTAAAGGTCTCGTTTGTAACTCGCGACTGGCTGCAAGGAATTCTAAACCAGGACCAAAATACAATCCAAAAAGGTCCAGCGTTTGCATCGGTTTCGGGTTAACAGCTGTAGCCACTACGTCACGAGCTGGCACACTTTAACCGGCGCAACATTTGCACTTGTGGTCCTTGGGCGTTTTACGACCAAACCGGCAAGTGGCGAGTTGGCGGTCAGGGCAAAATAAGCACTCGGTATTGAACGAGGAAGCAAATGAGGCATACTGACTTCCTGACCGCCTCCATCTGCTCGGCGGTGTAAGGTTTTGTCGATTCTGCGGGCCCCTGCGCGGACGTTTCAGCGTCCTCTCGGTGATGACGGTGCCTCGTGGAGGCTCTTTCTCCGTTAGCCGGTCCGCCGTTCTGGTCCGGGGGCTTCCCATTGTGCGCGAGCGTGTCCAGTAAGTCTGTTCGGGGAGAAAACGACGGCTGTCACCCAAAACCTCACCATTCTAATGAGCCCCAATCGTGCAATGCTAACGGTTAGCGTTGCAATGTGTAAGCGGCGGTCCGCCGTGTGAAGAACCCGCTCTATTCGACTTACTTTGGGCTTGGTCCGTCGGGAACAAACGCTGGGCCTTCTCTAAAAACTTCCTGGCTTTGTCCGGCTGGTTGTTGCTGACTGCGTTCAGTGCGATTTTGATGCAACGCTCCGCTTCGTCCTTGTTTGAGTCCATTGCGACACGGCGGAGCTATTTACTTGACCCAACTCTGGGCGCGGGGTGATGACGTCACGCAAAGGCAACCCGAACTTCAGTCGAAACGTCACAAGAGTGGGACCCCCGCCGGTTTCCGCCACTTGGCCCCCCGATTCCTCTTGAAAGACCTTGACAAGTAGACGAAAACTGTGGCGTGCAACCGCCAGAACAGAAAAGCCGAGAGGAGGCTGCTTATTCAACAGGTGCGTTCGCGGTGTGACCTAAGATCGCATTTCTAAGTCACTGCTGCATCTTTGAGAACCAAGATGGCTTACTGTGGGCCGTTCAATCTTATGAGACGGGTTCCTGTGCGTCTTCGTCGGGAGACCTGTCTGTCTTTTTCATCTAAAGACACCATAGCTGCCGTTCGGGCAACGCACCAACCAGTCAAGAAACGTCAGAGGAAAAGAGACAGGAGGCCCACCTGGGCTGCTGATTTGTCCTGGGAGGACAGGCTGGCCTCAGTGGTCACCCCCCTGTGGAGGCTCACTTATGATGAGCAACTTGAAGTCAAGCAAAAACATCAGGAGAAGATACTGGAGCAGCTCTGCGAAGGCGGAAAGATCACGTTCCCCGTCCTGCCTATC